TGAACTCTCCTTTATTGTTTTGGTGACGATCCAACTTTCTGTGGCAGCAACACTTACAGCGTGCACCACATGCTGTCATGTAATGTCCACTACAGTACGTACGTTACCTGAGGCTCGTGAAAGGTGCCCCGCCTTTCCTATGCACAGTTTTATAAATGAGGCCCAGGAGTCATCAGCTAACTTAAACGTCTGGAGGAATGAGTACTATCCGAGTATCAAAACATAAATACAGTAATGTACACCAGTGGTTCAATATCTCATGAAATCCCACACAAGTGCCTAACTCATTTTTATTCCTGTTGCTTTTTCTTGTTTTTATAACTTTCCGGGTCGTACACTCATAGTTTTTAATAGTGTATTTCACAGGCTTGGGGAGTAACGGATTACATACAAAAACAGGGGAGCTGTATTCCCTTACAGTTACATAAAAAAACACGTAATCAGATTATTGTTACTACATTTCTAAAAAGTGTGGATTACAATGTCAGTAAAAACCTAAAAAGAGCATATAATGTTTGTAGTAAAAGAATCAGATTGTATTTCTTCTTTTTAAGCTGTGCTGTTCTGTAGGCTAATACTTGAAGTGTGAATCTATACGCCTACTGCCTGAATTTTTTTATGTTGCACTTAAACAGAGAATTTTATGTTAGCTCAGGTTTTCCTGGAATAAATAGTTAAACAGAGGACTCATTTTGAGAGATAATAACCTTTGAATTTATTTGCATCTCATTTGACAATTGAGGTAATCCAAAAGTAACGGAAAGTGATCAGCGGATACATTTTTGGGAAAACATTGTGTGTGTGTGTGTGTGTGTAGGATATATTACTTTGAAAAAGAAATAACTATGTTAATTCTAAAATGGAGCAACTGTTGCTAAACCCATTTCCCCCTGAAAGTATTCTGTTTCGTACTGCTCTTTTAAACTTGATCCGCCATTCAATTATAAGAAGTCTGTGACAAATACATAAAAACAGCTGTAATGTGGATGACGACAGATGAGCTTAAAATATCCAACAGCATAGAAGTGAAACATGATTCTGGTTTTGACTGTTATGGGAGGTTAAGAACAAATGATATCAGCGGTTCTAAAATTGTGCATTTTGTTTTAACACCCATTACTTTGGTGCAGACTCAATCACTCAAAATCTATTGGATGTATTGTAGGGATGTAACGATACCAAAAACTCACGGTAATATCGCGATAACAAGTCCACGGTACGGTATTTATCGCGATATTGAATAATAAAGAAAAGAGAAAAATTCAATTTTTTCTTTTCAATACAAATTGTTTTTACTCGGAAAATGTTTCTTTATTAAATAATAAATCTGATTTGTACAGCATTTTAGTAGGATAGCAGTATTTTAAAGTGTCAAAAACAAAGTGGCAGTAACAGACTGGAACAAGAAAACCAGTGTTTTTGTACCTATAGTACT